CTGGAGACACAGAGCACCCAGGTGAACCGGCGTTCCAGCCTCCAGAACATGGAGCTTGAAGGGCAAGCTGGTTTAGCAAAGGGGTGGCACGTGATACTGACCTGCCCAAGACCTACGCACACTGCGGTGGGTGAGCAGGTCCTTTCCTCAGTCTGGAGAGAGGGCTCCCCTGACCTCAGCTTTCTGTGTATTGTCTTCTATCTTTATTTCTCCACTCTCTCACCATCCTTCCCCCAGGGAACTTTGAAAGCTGCACAAGATGCAGCCGGCATATTGGTGCCTGAATACAAGACCAGGATAAGGAGGCATAGTAGGTGAGGAGACGCATCTCACTGTGCGCACCAAAGGGGGAGAAGGGCACGGATCAGCACTGATCACAGAAGTGTAATGACACTGATATAGTCAGGTGTAAAACATGGGCCAAACAGTTCTCAAAGACAGGCATATAAAAATGAGGTACAGAGATTATACAGAAATGCTTCTGTATTATTGATTCCTGCATTTACTTTCTTTCATGGAGAAGCCAAAGACAGAAATGGGCTCATTAGAGCCAAAAGAGCAAAACAGGCTTAGGAGAAACAAAACAGATGATGATTCGCCTCGATGGAGGTGAGAGCAGCAAGCAGGAGCTCTGGGCACCTAAACACAGGACACGGGCTGGTCTCCTCCACCTAAGACTGACAACGGTCCAGTTCATACTAGTGCTGCTTTCCAAATGTTCTGTGAAACTTTTCACATTTCCCTTACACGCGAATTCCTTAAAACTCTCAAGGTCAAGGGATTGTTGAATGTGCTCACCATATGCTCAAAATTCAGTTACAAAAACAAAAGGGGATGTGCTGGTCACTTTTCCCTCACCGCCAAGACAGAACACCTGACACCTAAAGTTAAGGAAGGAAAGGTTTATTTACCTTACAGTTTGTGGAGGTTTCAGTCTATCATTTACTGGGCCCAAGACAGGGTGGCATGGCACAGGATAAGAGTTCACAGTGGATAGAAGACAGCAAAGCAGATCATGATTTTCTCTTTTTTTTTCCTTTTTTTTTTTTTTTTTTTTTTTTTTTTTTTTTTTTTTTGGTCTTTTTGAGTCAGGGTCTCTATGCAGTTCAGGCTGGCCTTGAACTTACTTTGTAGCCCAGGCTGGTCTCGAACTCACAACCATCCTCCTGCCTCAGCCTCCCAAGTGCTGGGATTACAGGCATGAGCCACCACACCCAGCTTGTACTATTAACTTTTTAAACCCTACTAAAGATGGAATACAGCAGCAAAAAGAATTCAATCAGGTAAAAGGAAAAAAGTTTGGGAGGGTTCTTTGCAAAGAGTTTCATACTGGACAATGGAAGGGACCCAGTGTGGGGTAAAGGGTGTACCTATGTTTTTCTGGAGAACACTGAATAGCTGATCTGGGTGCCAGAGCATGTGTCGGGCTGTATTATGAACCCAGATCCAGAGCCTGACCCAGAGGAGTTGATCTCACATTTCAAGAAGCTGCTGCTCAGTCCTGTGACAGAGATGTCTTGGAGACGACACCACCACTGACAGATAAGGATGGATATAGACCTGGCCTGGGGCCAATTAAAGGAATTGACCCAGGATGCCCAGGAGACAGTAACCAAAAATAGGAATCAAAGGTCAGAGAAGGTGACAGAGTATATAGAGATAGCTGAGCTGAAAGCTATACAAAAGAAAAGGACACAAAAGTTATTAGTATTAAGACAAAATAAAATACAAAAATATATGTATTGGCTACAGATAAAAGATTTTGTTCCTTCCAAATTCTTGCAAGAGATGTTTGCTAATTGACCTACCAAAAAATCTGACTAGTCTATTTATAGTTATAAATTCCTAAAACTGTAAAGCAGTTATTATAATTCAATTTGATCAAAACTACATTTGAGTGCACTCTGATTTGGTAAGATGTTTGTCTGTCTGTTCTGTTAAGCTATGTTTGTCATATCCACAAACAGCCGTTATTTGAGCTCAACAATTTTTTCTCTCCTCTTCTTTTTGCATTTTTGGATCATTTGTTCAAAATTTAATTTGGGTTAGAGACTCAAGGCATGCTTTCACCTGGGTGGTCAGTTGGTCAATTTTATATCAAAATGGGTTTTTTCAGAAGTCATCAGAAATTTGTAAGCTAAGTAAAGGGACCTTGTGGGCTTGGAGGATGACTGGCTAAGTTCCCTTTGATGAATACAGGAGCAGCTGCCTAGGAAAAGTTATCTCAGCCTTTGTTCATTAATAGGAAGCCCCAATGGTCTTTGTAGCCTTACAGGAGACACCCCAATAAATGTTATTAAAATATATTGTTGTAATATGCTTATACTATTCATTCATCAAAAGATTACGTTTTCTAGACAATTAGATTTTTTATTTAAAGAAGTTCTTATATAAAGGTTTCATATGGTCAAGCAGTGGCCAGGACTCATCCAGACAGCTGACACTAAGGGAAGAGCTAGAGTGCTGTGCAGGGTTCCAAGGTAATGCCTGAGGGGACTTACTGACCTTGACAGAGAGCAAGAAATTAATTTTAATTAATACAGGTCTCACTTCACCTTGGTCTTAAACATCCTGCAGAAAAGTATAACCATAAGGAAGAAAGTTACCTGCAGAGTCCTCCAAACACAGCTCCCCAACCTCAACTAAACACTCATTGATTGCAGCTCCAGAAACAGAAAAGGGGGAGATGGTGGGAGCAGCTGAGCTAGTGCCTGGGGAACACCCTGAGGCACAAAGCACGCCAGGCAAACTGCCCCAGCCCCTCACCGAGTGTGAGGTGAGCAAAGAGGTTTCACCCCATATCTGCTTTCCAAATGTATGAACAAAGGCACTGCGGTGGCCGAGAAGCTCCTTTCCTCTCATCTGAAGAGAAGGCTCCCCGACCTCAGCTTTCTGTATACTGTTTCTTATCTTTATTTCTCCATCCTCTCGCCACCCTTCCCCCAGGGAGCTGCACAGGGCATGGCAGCATCTACTGATTAATGCATAAAAATGACAGATCCACGTCAGAAAAAGGATATTGACTAGCCAGATCCCAGTTAAAAACACCACTGCAGAATCAGGAGACAGAACTGAAAACTTCAGTCCCTACAGCTCCACTTCCCTCTGGATCTGCCTCTCTAGAAGGTAGATTTTTCTTCAGCTGTTAAGGCTCTTAAAACCAATTATTGAATTAACTGAAACTTGAGTTGTTTACTTTTAAATTTACTTTTACTTTTGAATCATCCAAATGTGCTGAATTGGGGTTTTTAAAAATAGTAAGTTTGGGGCTGGAGTATAGTTCAGTAATAGAGCACTTGCCTAGTGTATACGAGTTCTAGGTTCAATCCCCAGCACCACAGAGAAAAAAGAACTAAGAAAGAATATAATAATGAATTTCAAACAGTTTTCAACCATACATTGTTCTTTTAAAAATGAGTAATTAACAAAGCACATGTATTTCATTTCAATGCTGTCTCATCCTGTCATGTATGTTTTATACTGTACATGTTATTTAGAAAATGCATTGTTTTAAGGCATAGTAAAAAAAAATCATGTATTTGGACCACGCGTCCACAGAGTCCATGCAGAAGGTCTGGGATCTCCCAGACACTGGAAAGCAGAGGACAGAGGACTGAGATGTGTCCTGCAAAGCTCCACGTCTGAACCCACTGGGGAAACAGTGGCCAGCACTCAAACCAGTGCACAGAGTGCAGGCAGGTGATGCTTCAACTGTTCATTCTTGCATCGGAATTTACTGGCTACTGGTAGGTCCTGAAGCCAACCACGAATGTGGCAGATGTGTTTCTGAGGAGCTGTAGGCTGGTGGAGGAATTAAGCATGTAAATGTGTGATTAAAATGCTAAAGGAGTGGGCCGGGGATGTAGCTCAGCAGCATAGGCGCTTGCCTGGCAAGCATAAGGTCATGAGTTCGATCCCCAGTACCAAAAAAAAATGCAAAGGAAGCAACAGAATCTGTCATCTCTGCAAAGAATTGCACCTCTGCATGCGGTCACCCATACGCATCAAGCTCTCAGCTAGGAGGATGCAGTGACCACAGGTGAGCAGGACTTTATGCTTCCTCGGCAAAGAACAGACCTACAGAATACACACCATGCTGGCGTCCGGAGCACCTGCAATTCCCCAAAATTAAAAGCTGTCACTGCTCAGTCCTCGCTGCTGCTTCTGCCTTTCCAGCAACACTGTCCCCATATTCAAGACCCAACATTTCTGCTCCAAGTCCACCCCACCGTAGTGCCCCATTCTGCTGAAACAAAGTGCAGAAAAAGAAGCCAGTATGAGACTCTTGCTGAGTTCCCCTCTGGAGGACAGAGGGGATGGACACTGGGAAACAGCAGGGCAAAGGCAGGAGAGGACAGATGTCAGAGGCCTTTGTACACGGGGTCACATATTGCAGGATCACAGGTCACAGCGTCAGCAGAGCTGGTGACAGCGAAGTGGGGGTGGTCCTGGGCCTCACAGGGGCTCACCAAAGCTTCCTCCACCAAGTCGCCACCCCTGCCTGGTGGCCAGACAAATGCAGAACCCACAGGAGAACAAAACTCATCCCTCACTTACGACTAATCAGCACTTGACACTCAGAAACCAGCAGTGATGGGATCCAGTCAGCCGAACAAAAGTGCTGACACCAGAGCTCTCCATCCACCAAGAGCTCACAGTGCTGCACATGAAATGTCAGGGTGAATGAGGTCGTGACGAAGCGGCATAATATTCTCAGGGAACCTGGCACCCCAAGGAAAAGCTGCCAGTCAATTGATAATCACCGAGTCTCCAAACAGCTAGCAGAGACTGACGGAGCCCGCAGCAGGCAGCACACAGTGAGCTGCAACACGACCTCAAAACGTCCCACCTCTTCCCAACTGTGCCTTGCACAGTCTCCTGACGAACCTTTAACCCAGGCTGCAAATCTCATCGCAGCAACCCCAGGTCAGGTGCCACATCAGTGGTGATAGGCTCTGCAGATGGTTTTATGGCAGCTTTCATACTCACACGAAAAACAACACAGTCCATGTTCACTTTAATGAGCAATTTCAACTTTGACAAGGGAACACATATTCTCTTCAGCTGTTGCTCAGCATGGTCATCTGGCTCAAGGCGCTTCACCGAGGGCGTTGTCCTCTGCCTCACAGGGGTCTTCACAGAGGACTTCGTCCACCCTCATGTCATGCTCGCCCACTGGGATCTGGTGGCAGATCTGCTCCTTGAAGGCCAGGGCGATGGTGTAGGGCGTCGGGCCTGGCAGCTGCAGGCAGCGCTGCAGGTAGGCATCGTAATAGCCCCGGCCCCGGCCCAGCCGGTTGCCCTGCTTGTCAAATCCCAGGCCGGGCATGAAGATGAGATCAAGGCCCCCTGAGGAGAGAAAGCACAGGTAAGAGAACGATGGTTTCCTCGGTGATCTCCCTAGCACTGGAAGTGGTTTTGATTGTGTTTTTTGTAGCAGAGATAGAACTCACAACCTCACGCTTGCCAGGCAGGCGCTTGTGCCACTAAGCTAAGTCCACGGCCTTTCATTTGTTAATGACACCGGTTCTTTCTCTGATTTCTGAAGAAATACGCGATCAATGTAGAAAACAAAAAGCAAAAACAGACAAAGAAGCGAAGAACAATTACTCGGCAGCTCAGTCTTCCGTCCTCCAGCCCTGCAGCATTTCCTTTATGCATAGCAACACAAAAATGCCAGCTGGTGCAAGCCAAATACTGAATACGGTGATCCAAGCACTGTCATTTCTGTCTTCCTCACAACGCGGAAAGCTGTATTTGTAATCCCATTGAGATGTTACTGGAATCCCATCAAGTTAATTCCAGCTTACCACCTCCAGTGCAACCCACAGCAAGAGTAAAGACACCTAGACATATTCACAGTTAAGGGCAGCCGAGGGGTCCAAAGCCCAAACCCTGTGAGGATGTGCAGGCCCTGATCCAAGGCCCCTCCCAGGATTTATCATCTTGTGAAGCAGGGGAGGCTCGAGGATGAGAGACAGTGAGGACGGCGGGAACTATGGGAGTGACCTGAGCTGGCTGGCCAGGTGGGGAGAAAAGCACTTCGCAAAATGCAGGGAGAATGATACCACAGAAGGGTCAGTCTGCATAATTCAATTAAGGCAGCATTTGAACTGTTTTAGGAGGCTGTTGCTTCAGTTTCTGATACGCAAACTGCTGTGCCCTGGGGACTCATAGCCTCTTTATGTTTAGGCTCCTACCCAGCTGACATTTCTGGAGCTGACTGGCTCTGTCATCCGCTGTGCTCATATCCCTCATATCCTTTACGGAGGAAACAGAAGGAAACAGGAGACTGTCTGATGGCCTTAGAGATTACACACCAGTACCTGGCTGGCCTTATTTGCAATGCTTAGAGTCAACTGAAGAGAGAAGGAAATAACCATAGTCAGCTCTGTACATACCAGTATAAGGAAGTAAGTCTCCATATAATCAAAGTCACAGCAATTGTTCTGCATTCAAGGAGAGCCACTCAAATTGTCTCCCACACCCTCTACTCAGAGAGGCTCCCCAGGCAACCAGGGATTCAGCACAGCTGTCGGACATCAGCATCCCAGGATGATGGCAGGGAGCAGGCAAGGGCCAGACAGAAACAAGTGCCAGAGCTCTCTGGAGGGTTTGCTGGAAGCAGCACACTGTCCAAACAGCCACCTTGGCCTCTCTCTGCCAGACAGGCTGGGCCAGTGGCCACACCCCCATGTCACAGGACAGCAGCCTGACCCAGATCAGGGAGCTTTCCAAGGTACAAAGTGATGTGCCCTCACGGTCCTCTAGCTGGAGGCTGCCCAACCAACACAAGGACCAGAGCTGGGCGTGGTATCATCAGGACAGAGCAGGCTGTTACAGCTCTGGGCAGAAGACATGGTCGTGGGAATTATAAAACCTACCAGAGTGAGAAGCACATGGGAATTATCACACATAGGACAGTCACAGTCACGAGGTAGAGGACCGAATGGGTGCTAGGAGTGTAGGGAACCACCCTCCAGCCCCTAGCGGAACCCAGAGCCGCCCTGGGGCCTTCCCAGTCTGGCTGTCCTGAGGCTGCTGGGTGACCTCCAGTTAGTTATGGACTAAGCACTCAGCAGCACTGGCAAGACACACCAGGGCTGGCGGCCAAGAATTCTGCACAAGCTGTCAGAGAAGCAGCAGTGATCAGAATGCCAGCAAGGCCAAGCCTGCCACCAGCAGCTGTTCTGACGCCTGCAGAACTGAGGGAGACTTGGTGCTCTCTGGCTTCCAGCACACACCGGCCAACCCTGCCTGCCAAACCCAGCAGGGTGTACCTCACACGCAATGGTCACGACCTTCCTGTGTAAGCCTGCCTGTCCATCCCAACCTGACTGCTGCAAGGCCTGGGCACTCAACGAGGTCCCTCCCCTGCCTCTCACAGCACACTTATCTCCACATAGACCAACAGTAGCCTGTATTTTTGACCTTTGCTCCCTCTGGTCCTCTTTCTGTCACCAGAGAATTCTCGGTGCCTTGAAGTTCAGTCCCCCCTTGGAAACTCAGAATACACACCCCGCACTCTCCTAGGAGCCCTTCCTCTTTTCAGGTACAGTCTGCGAAGTCTTTTGGGGACACACAAGCCCTGTCCTTTAGAAGATGGCATAAACATAAAACATAAAATATACAATATTCATGCGCATAATGTTATGGTTTATATCTAGATGCCCCTAAAGCCTTGTGCCATGGGTGGGGCTCCTGGGAGAGGCTGGATCTGGATCGTGGGACTCTGGTGCTCATCTGAGGGTCAGCTGTTTCTCCTCGGTCACGTCCCTCCACCATGCTGCCCTGCCTTGCAGCCAGTCAGCAACGGACTGAAACCTGCAGACTGTGAGCTGAAGTAAACCTCTGCTCCTTAGGGTTGTGGGAGTCAGGTGTGGCGTTTCAGGGACAAGACAGTAACTGAGAGGTAACAGCCAGGTATGCGCATGCCACACATCTCTGCCACCTGCCTGAGGAAAAGTATTTCCAGCCAGGGCTCATGGCGCACCGTAGAGAACTCTGATCTGCCTTTGAGGACATATCTGAGTTAGGGCTGAGTATATTTCAGAAACCGAATGGGCGTCCAGAGACACAGAGGCGTGCGGGCAGAAGGGTCAGGATGCACCACAGCAGAAGACACAAGCAGTGCCCACTCCGCTGTGGTGGGAATGCACCACGGTGCAGCTGCCACAGGAAACTGTGCTCGGGCTCCACAAACAGTGCAACAGGGCTGGGGTGCCGCTCAGGGTAGAGCGCTTGCCCGGCTTGCACGAGGCCTTAGGTTCAATTCTCGGTACTACACAAAAAAAGTGAAGAACAGAACTGCCATATGATCAGCAACCCCACTTCTGGATATTTATTCCAAGACTGAAATCAAGGTTACAGTGAGATGTTGTACCTCACTGAAGCATTAATTCACCATAGTCAAGAGGCAGAAACAGCCTAGACATCCAACGTGGTGTGAGCAGATGGAGAATGTGGTGCGTGTACACAGTGGAGCAGCAATCAGCCACGAAAAGGAACCCCTGCAATACGGGGCAGTGTCAGTGGACCTCAGGACGCGGTGCTGTGAGATAAGCAGGTTCCACATACAGGAGGGGACAGAAAGTGGGGACAGAAAGTGGAACGGCAGTTGCCAGGTTTGCCAAAGAGAGACGGGTCCGGGAGCTGCTGGTTCGTAGGTGGAGTTTGTCACACAGGGTGAAAGCGTTGCAGACACCTGCTCACAGCAGTGTATTTACAGCCAGGCCAGTTTTGGTATGCACTTAAACTGAGAAGGTATAGCTCATGTTGCATGCTATTTAACCCAATAAAAAATAAAAATTAAAAGACAAAGAAAGCAAAAGGGAAACCAGGAGAATCAAGATTTTCATCAAAGTTAATACACAAGAAGGAGAAGGCAGATTCTGGTGCATCTACCAGTGCTCGGCTAGCCGGAAGAAAACAACCAAGAAAAGACTCAGAAAAGTAAAAAAAAATTCAGAGTTACTCTTGGCCCTCTCCTTACTTCCTGTCCGTGCAGCCCTCCCTGAAGAGCCCTGCCCACCAGCCGACTGTACACGCCTCTGTCCACCCTCGGCAGCAAACAGTCCTGTAGACCACCATCTCTCCAAGTCACCCTTCATGCTGCAGCGTCATAGGATGCCAGGACTAAGAAACCCTGGAAAGAGAGCGTATCATCCATAACGGACCGGTCCTGGCCAGCCCTGCTGTAACGAGCCAAGTGGCAGGCTGGGTCGAAGGGGCAACGTCACATCACAACAATCTGATAAGAGCAAAGCCCCCGTGGGCGACAGGAGAACTGAGCCAGGCCTGGACTCCCAGGACCAAGGCTCTGTGCTGGCAGGGTCCTGGCAGCCTGTCCAGAACACTAGCCGGTGGGCCCAGCCGCAGGACTGCTGCAGCCGCTCCCTTATCCAGTGCCTCGGTTACTTTGCTCTCGTTTCTGAGGCAAAAACCAGACACCCCCAGTTAACGAGGAAACGTTTATTTAGCTCAGTTTGTGGAGGTTTCAGTCCATAATCAGCTGGCTCCAAGGCCAGGTGGCCTGGCAGCCAACACTTTTCAAGGCAGCACAAGACAAGAGCAAAAGAGGAGCAAACCTTTTATAGAACGCTGACTGCTTCCCTGGGGTGGGTGTGGCGCTCACAACACTTCAGTGCCTCCTCTTGCACAGGCTCGGAAGAGCCTGGCCCCTGCTGAGTCACTTCAACTTCTCAAACTGACACAATGAACAGTATCTTAGAGCAGTAAGGGCCTGTCCGCTACACCCCAGGATGCAGAACTGCTGAGATAAGCTTCCAGACTTCTCAAGTTGACACTGTGTTATCAGCGCCACACCCTCTCACCACCCTCTGTGCTGCAGGTCCTCAGGCCCCTCCTGCTGGTGGGTGAATCCAAGCTTCCCTGAAACACAGGACCCAGCCCTGACTGAGTTCACCCCATGCTACCCTCAAAGGTCTCCCCCTGCCACAGACCATCCTCACAGCAAAGCCTTCCAGCTCATGCACACACACACACATACACACACATGCAGTGCCCCGACACACATACATGCACACACTACATGCAGTGCTCCAACAAAGACACCCTATACACACATCACAAGCAGTGCTTCTCACACACCTCACAGCAGTACCAACACACACACACACACCTCCCGCATCCAGTACCCCCAACACACCTACACACACACCACATGCAGTACCAACACACACAGCCCCGTGGGCAGAACCACACACTCACAGAGCCCTGCGCCTCTGTGCACCTCAGAATACTATGCTGGGTACTTTCCCTCCCCAAAGCTGAAGAATCAGTAGGACTTGAAAACGGTCATAATTCATGGAAATTAAATTAGACAGAGC